TTATAATCTAAACAAAATTTTTTAATGGATTAATTGTCATTAGTAAGATCTACATTTTGTCCAAATTTCAAATCGAAACGTTTTGAAATAAAAAAGTTATTTAAAAAAAATGAAATTTCTTTATTTTTAACACAGCGAAGAAAAAAATAAAAATAAAAACAAAGTTGTCCATGGACGAGATTTTTTTTTTGAAAAAAGTACTGCATTAAGATGTATAAATAAGGTAAAAAAGTTTCAATCGATTTCTTGAACCCTTGCAAATCGACCGTTCGATCCTTTCGCGAAACCGTAGTTAATTCTTAATTTTTTAATAATTAAAAATTTAAAGTACCAAATGGTAGTATATGTTTTTTAAATTTTGTCTTAGAAAGTACCATAAAATTTAATGGTAAGAGAATTAAAAACTTGTAAATTGCATAAGAAAATGATCTCTGATACATAACAGATTTGTATTTTGGTGGAGATATGCGTTGTTTGTGCCTTGTATTTATATTGTAAACATCACATCTATATAATATTTTTTCAAACAGATAAGAAGGACATTTTATATTTATAAATTATAAATTATAATTTTGTGATACATCACAAAGCAATGAAGCGCACGTCGTTGGCTCATAATGTAGCCAACCCATTTGCTCCATTCTTTGTGTTATGGCCGACGGTGAAGGTGATCCGCCGGACTCCGTTTGTTCGATTTGTGAAAAGAAAGTGGAAGATGTTTACTATATTAAATGTAGTGGAATATGCAAGAGAGTATACCACATAAATTGTGCAGGAATTAACAAAACAGTGCATAAGACCTTAGTGACAAGCAAAAACTTAATGTGGAAGTGCGACATGTGTGCAGTTTTAGAAAATAACATTTTGCAAGAGCTGAAACCTATACTAGGGCAACTAGTTCAAGAAGCTATGAAAGAAGCATTAGATGGGATATACATGCGTATACAAAACACAGCGGGAAGCAAGAATAATGTAAATGAAACAAATAATAAGGTTATGGAAAATCAAATCGGCATGGAGACAAAAAACACGGCAATAAACACGCAACATAATAACATAAAGAATACTGTACCACAAAGTACCGCACCCACCACAGCTACCTATCAACAGATGGCAGCACGAAATTCCAAAACAAATGGAGTGCAAACTGTCAATCACAAACAAACACAAGATAATAATAAAACAAGAAAAACTGATTACAGCAATAATACGCTCATAATTAAAGACAAGAACGCAGTGAATATATATACGCAGATAAAAGGCGCTATAGACCCATCTAATCTGGAAATTGATATAGTTAACCTAAAAGTAAACAAACAAAACCTATTTATAACCTGCAAAGACCAGGAATCGTACCAAAAACTAAAAACTAATGTGGAAAGAATTATAGACACTAACAACTGGGAAATTTCCAAAGCAAATAAGTTTAACCCAAAACTAGTAATAAAAGAAGCAAGAACAGATGATGTTACAGAAGATTATGATAAACTGGCTAATAAAATAATTAAACAAAATAAGCTAAAAACAGACAACCCAAATTTCGAGTTTAAAGTTGTCAGAAAAATAAACGTCAGAGAGGATTTAAGAAAAAAAGGCATAGAATTAACTAACCTTATAATATCAGTGGATCCCCAAACAAGACAAAACATTCTTCATGGAAATACTTTAAGTATAGGATGGAAAAACTGCATGGTTAATGACTCAACTTTTGTGAAAAGATGTTACAAGTGCTGTGACTTTTTCCATCTAGCCCAAGATTGTAAAAGTGCAACAACAGTATGTGCGATATGTGCTGGAGGCCATGAAACAAATCTTTGCACAAACAAAGACTCAAAAAAATGTGCAAATTGTATCAGGAGCAACAAAAAACACAAAACAGAATACAATATATACCATTATGCATCATCAAAACAGTGTGAATCCTACCAAAAAATTATGAAAAGTGTAATAAACAACACAAACTATGAAGAATATAAACAATAGCAATTACCAAATAAAATATTTAAAAAACCATCAAATAAAACAGAAGAAAATATCAGTCTTATACATCAAAATGCCCAATCCATAGGCAACTGTATAGGTGAGCTGGAAGCTATGCTGGAAGAAAACCTAGATTGCAAGTTTCTTTGTATATCGGAGCATTGGAAGTCGGAAGATCAAATTGGCAAGCTTGGGATGAAAAATTTTAGGCTTGTCACAAGTTTCTGTCGAAAGGAGGGACAACATGGGGGTGTAGCTATCTTTGCAAGGTCAGAAATCAAATATAAGGTGAGAGCAGAAATAAATAAACTTTCCAAAGTAAATGTTTTTGAATGTGCAGCAGCTGAATTCACTGTAAATAATAAACCAATGATTGTAATTACATTATATAGACCATGTGATGGCTCAAAGGAGATATTTTTGGATAAATTAGAAAAATTATTACAAAAAATTGTCGAAGAGCATAAATTAATTTTTATTGCAGGAGATTTTAACATCTATATGAAGGATACTGATAAAAATGAGCATAATGCAAATCTAACATCACTTTTAGCCTCATATGGTCTACATAAAACCATTAACCAATATACTAGAATTACCCATAAGACAAAAAGTTGTATTGACAATATTCTTACCAATTATGATAGATTTTATCAAGCAAGTGTTGTAAATGGTGGCATTTCTGATCACACATTTCAAAGAATTGTTTTTAGAGTAGAATATCCCAAAGAAAAAAAACATTATAAGAGATTTTTCAGTGATAAAAATAAGTGCCACTTTTTGGAACACCTGACTGATGAGCAATGGGAGGAAGTATATGAATGTGATGATAAAGATGTAAATAAACAATATACATGCTTCTTAAACAGATTTAAAATAATCTTTAATGCTTGTTTTCCTCGTCAACTGGTGAACAATAAAACAAAAATAAATGAATATTTCAGAAACAATGCTGAAGTTAAGGAATGTAAGAAAAGATTGGATGTGATGCTAGTCCTATCCCAAAACAACGAAAGCTTTAAAAAATATTATAAGGACTGCAAAAATGAATACAATAGGACACTAAATAAAATTAAATTGCAAAGATATGAGAAAAAAATTAACAATTCCGATAACAAAAGCAAATGTTTATGGAATATTCATAATGAAATAACTGGCAAAAAACATAAAAACGATGATTGCCAAATAAAAGGGGACCCAAAGGAAGTAGCTAACAAATTTAATAATTTTTTTACAAATGTCGCCCCTAAACTACTAAAAGATGCAAAAAAAATAGCATTTAAGTGTAAAATTGAAAATAACATAAAATCAATGTTCTTAAGACCAGTCACCCCGAGTGAAATACTAGCCCTTACTAAAAGAATAAAAAATAAACACACCAGTGGGATGGATGAAATACCATGCAGCCTAGTAAAATATTGCATTAATAATATCAAAGAGGTAATATGCTACATAATAAATAATTCCTTTAAGCAGGGAATTTTTCCGGATTTACTTAAGGTTGCAGTTGTCAAACCAATATATAAAAAGGGCGATGCAGAAAAGGAAGAAAACTACAGACCAATAAGCATATTACCCAGTTTCTCAAAATTATTCGAGATGGCTGTGTGCGATCGCCTGGTTGACTTCATGTCGGGATGTGACTTATTTAGTCCAGCTCAACATGGTTTCATAAAAGGACGCTCCACTCAAACAGCAATTTTCCAATATACAAAAAACATATCGCAATTCTTGGAGCAGGGGTTGCTGGGCCTTGGTATTTCATTAGATCTATCAAAGGCATATGATTGCCTAGACTCTAACCTTTTATTGATAAAGCTGGACAGGTATGGCATTCGGGGTGCTGCTTTGGAGTGGATTAGGTCCTACTTGGCGGCGAGGAAGCAGGCAGTGGGGATTAATGACTGCATGTCAGATATCCAGAATATTGTCCTGGGAATTCCACAGGGGAGTATTCTTGGACCAATTTTGTTTTTAATCTTTGTAATAGACTTGTGTTATATTGTAGAAAATGAAAACGAATTTTGTACAAACTATGCTGATGATAATAACCTTCTCGTGGGTGCTAAAAACTTCTGCGAACTTAACGAAAAATTTGAGAGATTGTTTTCATTAGCTAAGACCTGGTATACTGAAAACAAACTTATGCTTAATGATGATAAAACCAATATAGTAGTCTTTAGGACTAGACAATCTAGACAGAAAATACCTGAAACTATCCTAATAAATAATTGCCAATTAAAAATAGCCAATGACTCAAAATTTTTGGGAGTTTGTATCGATGAGTTCTTAGACTATGATCCGCACATTAACAATCTCTGTAGTAAACTGAACGCAATTAAATACGGAATAAGAGTAGTTCATAATTATTTAAATCTTAATAGTATAAAGACGATATACTTCGCTAACTTTGAGTCAAAGGCAAGGTACGGTATTATCTTTTGGGGCGGAAGCACCCACATAGAAAAAATATTTGTCATACAGAAGGCTGTGATTAGAATAATGCTTAATAAAAAATATAAAGAATCTTGCAGAGGAGAATTTAGAAATAGGAAAATTTTAACAGTATATGCGCTATACATTTATGAATGCTTAACATTTTTATTTAACAATAGACATAACTTTATATCACGTAATGGTGGATACGAAACCAGAACTCTAAATCTAGATTACCCTCAGCATGCTTTAACAAAAACAGAAAAAAGTCCGCACTATAGATGTATAAAATTTTATAATAAACTACCACATAGGTTTAAGTCAATAAATAGATTAGATGTATTTAAAGTAATTATATTTCGGTCTCGTCTCCGTAAATAACCATATGTAGTCTCCCCATTCTGTGCCGAATATCACGAGTTTAAAGTAAAAAATTCCACTCCGTCCCTGCATCCCTCCCCCTGCGTATCTAATCTCATTCTTCTTTCTCGTGCCGAACGAGCAAGTACGTTGCGTCATCACTGTTTTTAATTTCGATTTTTCGAGTGAAATTTTTGTTTTGTGGAGTGCTATTACAGGTGATTATGCCTGAACATAACAAGAGGGCACATAGTCCTTCGGTTGATGAAGATTCTCTCCTGCGGAAATACAAAAAACTTAAAAAACAATTGAAGGCAATAAGCCATGAGGCCGCAGACAGAGACGACCGTTCTCCGTCGCACTCGCACCGGTCACGCCACTCATCATCCTTGAGAACGAGACGTGCATTGGACGAAATATCGATTGACGCAGCTGACCAGCTGAGCGTAAACACAGATGGATTTGTAGGTAAGCAATATAATATCTTGAAAATAGACTAGTGTTTACTGTTTACATCTTTGACTATTGATAGGCAAAGGTTTACATTTCTTTCTTTTTATCGCATAATTATATCATAATATACAAAATAAGTAAGCCCTATATATAGGGCTCGCTTATTTTGTCTTGTTTTTTTTGTGGTGAATCACATAACACAGCCATAATGACACCTACAAGGAGGGTATAAAAGTATTATCTTCTCCTGAATAATCATTAGGTTTTGCTAAAAGCTGTTACAATTATGCATAGGTACCGAAAGTAGGTACCTATTTAAAACAAATAAATAAACCTTTGCTAGGTTTCACTTCTATTTATGGTAATAGAATTTTCCTATTTATGGTAATAGGTCACAAAATGTCAAAGTTTACTTCTATATATAAAAATAGAATTATCCTATTTATGGTAATAGGTTTAAATTCGTTATGCATTACCCATTTATGGCAATGGGAGTTCATGCGGTACATTTTCATGGGGTAACAAATAAACTTGTTCTAGATCTCCTGCAAGACGAGAAGCTTGATGAAAATGCCACTCCACCGCCAACTCCAGAGCTAGAAGGCTCGATCCTGAAAATAATAGGGGAGGAACTTCCAGACAATCATACGTATTCGCCTCCATTTCAGAAAGACGTTGCAAACAAATGGACAGAAATGCTGAAACGTGGCTTAAATTTGGAAGAGAAAAATAACTTGATCAAAAAGTATCCCTGCGCAGAGAACTGCCCTTTATTAGCAAGCCCCAAATTAAATCCAGAAGTATCAAAGGTCATTAATGACCAAATTACGCGTAGGGATGAGAAACTAAGCAACCAGCAAAATCAAATTGGCGCTGCCCTCGCTGCTTTAGGTCAGCTTCTCACACATTTTCTATCTGAAGAAGGGGGGGGCGACATAACCTATATAAAGTTAGCCAGTGATGCAGGAAAATTGCTGCTGGACTTTCATCAGACCCAATCAGTTACAAGAAGAGAGTTGATTGCAATCAATTTGCGAAAAGAATTGAAAGACACTCTTACCAACGTGTCATCTGATGGCTGGCTTTTTGGGGAAAAGCTGAGTGACAGAATAAAGGCGGCCAAAGAATTGGAAAGGTCAAGTTTGGATCTTAAACAAAAAATTTTCAAAAAGACAACCCCCCGTCCACGGGCCAGTGACAAACCTTTAAACCACCGCCGTCCACCTCAAGCAGTACAACTGGGAGGCAGCCAAGGTGGACGTCTCCAGAACATGCAGCAAGCCTTCCCACATCGCCGCACGGATTTCTACAGAAAAACTATCCGAAGCACCAACAATCAAGACAAGAAAAGAACCAGGACGGAGAACCGACCACCAGTACGGGCCAGGGACCGCTACAAGCCCTAAGCCACCAAGATAGGGTTAGTATAACAGTGGGAAGACTAAAAGGTTTTGTAGGTGAATGGCGGGAACTAACAAAAGACAAATTGATTTTGTCTTGGATTTCTGGTTTTAAAATTCCTTTCCACAAAACACCAATTCAGGTGTTTCAACCTACTTGCCCTAAGCGGTCAGATACAGAGGAGGATATACTCTCCAAGTGTATCCAACAGCTATTTAATTCTGGGGTAATCAACAAGGTAAAACCATGCAAAGGACAATATGTTTCGAATATTTTTCTAAGGCCTAAACATGATGGCTCGCACAGATTAATTCTAAATTTAAAAAACCTAAATGAGTTTATTACAACACACCATTTTAAATTAGAAGATCATAAAACGGTGTCCAATATCATAACAAAAAATTGTTATATGTCAACTTTAGATCTTACAGATGCGTACTTTCTTATTCCGATTCATAACAAGCATAAGAAATATTTAAGATTTAAATTTAAAGATTCCCTTTTTCAGTACAATTGTATGCCATTTGGACTTAACTGTGCACCACTAATATTCACAAAATTAATGAAACCTGTTGTTGCTTACCTTAGAAAAAATGGTTTTATATCAGTTATATATTTGAATGACTTCCTTTTGTTAGGAAACTCACACAAAAGCTGCAAAGAAAATGTGGCCTTCACAATAAATTGCTTGGAAAATTTAGGTTTCCTTATTAATTATAAAAAAAGTGTCCTACAACCAACTCAATGCTGCCGCTATTTAGGTTTTGACTACAACTCGGTAGATTTTACAATTTCAGTACCCAAAGACAAACAAACAGCCATAATAAAATTATTAAATTCCTTTTTGACAATTAAATCCTGTCAAATCAGATTTTTTGCTCAAATGATTGGGAAACTAATTTCTGTATGTCCAGCCATACCCTATAGTTGGCTGTATACAAAGCTACTTGAAAGACAAAAATATCTGGCTTTGAAAAGTGTTTCAGGTAACTTTAATAAATCAATGCAAATACCATCTTTTCTTGCATACGACCTTAAATGGTGGATATCAAAAATCCAAAAAGCAAAGAACCCTATTCGAAGAGACAAATTTAGTATCGAAATATTTTCAGATGCCTCTCTGACAGGCTGGGGGGTTTATTGCAACAACACTAAATCCCATGGGTTTTGGTCTACAACAGAAAAACAGAAGCATATAAATTTTTTAGAACTAAAAGCAGCATTTTTTGGTCTTAAGTGTTTTGCCAAAGACTTTAAAAAATGTAACATCTTACTTCACATCGATAACACCACAGCTATAGCTTATATTAACAGAATGGGAGGCATTCAATATCCGAATTTAAATAGCCTATGTAGGGAAATATGGCAATGGTGTGAAGAAAGAGAAATTTACATTTTTGCTTCCTATATTAGTTCTAAAGAAAATAAAGATGCAGACGAGGAATCTCGAAAATTACATACCGAAACAGAGTGGGAATTAAATGACATTCATTTTCAAAAAATTGTAAAATGTTTTGGGGAACCAAAAGTAGACCTTTTTGCTAGTCGAGTTAACACCAAATGTTCTAAATTTGTGTCTTGGCATAGAGATCCAGACGCTTTTCATATTGACGCTTTTACTCTAAACTGGAAATCACTTAATTTTTATGCATTTCCACCATTCTCAATCATTTTAAGAGTCCTTCAAAAAATCTTAAATGACAAAGCAGAAGGTACTGTTGTAGTACCTTATTGGCCGACCCAACCTTGGTACCCAATGTTTACTTCATTGTTAAAAACAACACCGCTTTACTTCAAACCCACTACATTTTTGCTTTCCTCTTTTGACAGACAATTTCAACACCCTTTATGGAGACAGCTTACCCTGGTAGCAGGGTTCTTATCGAACAAGCACTCCAGTTAGGACAAATTCCGGAACAGGCTCTAGAAATATGCTTGGCTTCGGTGACATCTTCAACCCTTAAACAATATAACTCAGGTCTGAGACTCTGGTGGTCATTTTGTAACTCCCAAAATATAAATGTTTTTTCAGCATCAATACCAGATATACTTAATTTCTTAACCCACTGCTATAACAAAGGAGCTTCTTATGGTTCGCTAAACTCATATCGATCTTCCATTGCACAATTATTAGGTCCTTCTATTGCCAATGACTGTCGAACTAAAAGATTTTTTAAAGGAGTTTATCATCTGAGACCAAGCAACCCCAAATATGAAAACACTTGGGACCCAGCTATAGTTCTAGATTACCTTCGTAACTTAAAAAATAATGAACTTTCACTGGACCCTCTTACACACAAACTAGCTACACTTTTAGCTCTAGCAACAGGACAGCGGGTGCAAACTTTATCTCTTATTGAAATTCAAAACATTCAATCTTCTTCAAAAGGCATTGAAATCAAAATTCCAAAAAGAATTAAAACATCCAATAAAAATACTTTCCAACCTGTCCTATCGCTACCATTTTATTCTGAAGACCCACATATTTGTGTTGCTACCACACTTCTTTATTATATGGAACAAACTAAATTAATTCGAAAGCCTGACGCTTGTCAAAATCTCCTGCTGACATTTAAAAAACCCTATCATAATGCAACCTCACAAACTATATCCCGGTGGGTTAAAAACACGATGTCTAAGGCTGGCATTGATACCACACAATTCACCGCTCACAGCACCCGGCATGCGTCCACATCATTGGCCCAAAGGAAAGGTGTTCCTTTTAATGTTATCAAATCAGCGGCAGGTTGGACTAACAAATCCCAAACTTTCGCAAAATTTTACCAAAGAACAATAAAGGACTCCCAATCCTTTGCCCAAGCAGTTTTAGGCAAATAGTTACTATTACATAAACTTTTTCTTAAATAATTAGCCACTTTGTTGTTTTTTGTTGCAATGTTAGTTATAAGCTTGTTTACTATTTGTTTGCTGTTTATGTTAACACTAGCATATGTTTTCGCAAATTCAGCGCATTTACTAAATGTAATAATAATAAAGTTCCTAAAAATGTGATTTTTATTTGTATCATAAGATTTCTTTTAAAACAAATTATATATTTGCATATCTTTTTTGTATTTAATGTGTTTTCTTTTGTCCCTTACAGTATTTTATCTAAAATTGTCGCAAAGTACCGTCTTTAAACATCTACATATGGTTATTTACGGAGACGAGACCGAAATATAATTACTAGATCAAACGAACTTACCTGTAATGAAGTTCGATCGTAATTATATGAAGGTCTCGTCGAAGTAAATAACACCCACCCTAACCCGATTTGGGAATATCCCATCTACTTTGCAACAATTTTTTGGCTTTAAAAAAAATGAGATTAGATACGCAGGGGGAGGGATGCAGGGACGGAGTGGAATTTTTTACTTTAAACTCGTGATATTCGGCACAGAATGGGGAGACTACATATGGTTATTTACTTCGACGAGACCTTCATATAATTACGATCGAACTTCATTACAGGTAAGTTCGTTTGATCTAGTAAATATTAAGAAGTTTTTAATTGAGTTGGAGCCATATTGTTTAAATGATTATTTAAAAACCAATCTGTAATGTGATATATGTATATGTGACGTCATTCCATTTTTAAGAATTTATAATTTTATTGTAAATACGAAACTTTGGAATAAAGATTATTATTATTATTATTATTATTATTATTATGCCTCTTTGTCTCCTTCTTATACCCCAAATTAGCCTAACACAAGAGTTTTGAATAAGTTGTATTCTATTTGCATCAAATTTGGTGATGTGGGAATTATATACTGTATCGCAGTAGTTCAGGTTAGAGAGGACTAGAGAATCACATAGCATCATTTTTAGCTCGCGATTTAAAATATTTTTAAAAGCAAAGATATGTTTTAATTTTACAAAGGCCTTTTTAATGTTGTTACTTATGTGTTTTGAAAATCTTAAATCTATGTCCATTTCTAATCCCAAATTTTTTGCTGATTTCACACAAGGAATATATTTACTTTCCACCTGAATATTAATCTATTGTATATACTGTTGCCTTGCCATTTATTTTCCAAAAACTAAAAATTTACTTTTATCTGGATTTAATTTTAAACAGTACTTTTTAGATTCTTCTGTTAAGGCCTTTAATTCATTATTTATCATAGTACTAGCCAATAGAATATTACTAGGATCAAATGACTTATAAATTTGAGTATCATCTGCATACAGGTGGTACGAGCAATTTTTAATACACTTAATTAATTGACTGGTATAAATTGTAAAGAATAAAGGGCCCAAAATAGATCCTTATGGTACTCTGGAGAACACTTGGCCAAGTGAAGAACAGCTATTATTAATTTTTACCATCTGATTTCTATTATTTAAATAATTTTTAATTAAAGCTAGAGAATCAGCATTGAATGCTATATAATTTAAAATAGATATAAAGAGCCTGTGATTTAATTTATCAAATGCTTTTGAGAAGTCTAGGAGTACTAAAATGGTCAATTGATTATTATCAGTGCTCTCCAAAATATCGTCTATGACCTTAAGCAGAGCTGTAGAACAACTGTAATTTTTTCTAAATCCAGATTGATATTTTGGAACAATTGCATATCTATCTAGGTAAATTTTAATTTGTTTATATATAATTTTTTCAGCTAATTTTGAAAAAGTGGGTAAAATACTAATTGGCCTCAATTCCTTTAGTTCTTTAGGATCGTTAACTTTTGGCAATGGCTTTATAACAGATATTTTCCAAGTATCTGGAAATTGATTTGATTCAAAGCATGTATTTAAAATGTGAGTGATCATTGGAAGAATGCGAGGACAACAGAATATTATCATATCTATACCAATATTGTCAATACCAACAGCCTTTGATTTTATGTTAATGATAGTATTGGCCACCTCGGTTTCATTGGTTAAAGAAAAGCCGAAATTGCCAGTATTATCGCTTTTATTTTGTAAAAAACTATTTATTGTTAACTCATCAGGTTGAAGATTACTGCGCATAATATTAAGATAATATTCATTTATT